CTGGTTGCTGGTTGAAATTTAGAAAAGATTAAAAACATTTTAAACAATCTTGGGCTGTTACTCGGTTATTTTAGAGTAGTTTTATATGGTTAACCCAATTCCTGACGTCATTAAAACCATAGTTAATGAAGTTAAGAGGTCAAGAATTAGTCCAAGATAGTGGACGACAGCTCATTATTTCGAACTAGGAAGGTAGGAAAGAAGGAAAAATTAAGGAAGATATGACAAATCGGTAATAGAGTTTAATATATAATTTTAAGAGTTCTAAGCTTTTGAATGGGACAAACGACATTTATTGCCAAAAGTGTCTTTCTATATTGCATTAATATTGGCTACAAGAAATCATGATCCAGTATCCGTGCAGCAAACTATCAAGGAAACTGACGTTATGGCATTTGATCAATTTCTAAAGTTGTTTCTTTTTGGATTGGTTTATAGAGCATGGTTTATAGAGCATGATTTACACAGCATGGTTTACAGAGCATGGTTTATAGAGCATTGAGAGCATTCTGTTATCCAGCAAGCTGCTCCATTTACTGTTCGGAGTACTCCGGATTTTCGGAACACTATATAATGGAATGGAACAGAAGAGATTCAGATGCATGACTGTTCTGAACTGTTCCGACTACCCCGCTTTTCGAGTAGGGGCAGCCAGAACAGACATGTAACACTGCCCATTTTCACGTGATTGGAAATGGAGGCGACATATTTTGTGTATCACACTGTATAGAGCGTTATTTAGAGACCTTTAGATTGACGTTTACGGCAAACGTCAAACCGCTAGCGAGGTTTTCGATTTTACAATAGCTTGTACACCAGTTTTTAAATATGTTCAACTTATTAAACTTGTGCTCTTTAGCAAATGATTTAAGAAAGCAAATTAACCACTAGTCATGCCATTCACCAAAGCAGTAAATTAAGATTTGGCGTTTGAAGTTGACGTTTGGCGTATAAATTTCATGCTTGAACTGCTACGAGGGCTTGTAGTCATGGGACAAAACTTTTAAATTTTCTAATTTTTATTTCTTTGAGTTTCGTCCCATGAGTACAAGACCTTGTGTTCTTACCCAACCATTAATTCAAAGCAATTAGAGCTGTCAAATTACTACAATACGTTATAGATTTGAATTTGAAAGTTCAGGTTTTTTTTATACAACTGTACAGTAATTAGCCTAATTGACCATTTGCGTAATAGACTAAATTTTGATCTCAACAAAAATTTCATTACAGCTTGAAAGAGCATCACAAAATTAGTAATATTCCAAAGTTTCGTTGCGAAATGTTGTAAAATGCGGAAAATATAG